TTAGTGGTAGGGGAAACCGGAGTACCCGGAGGAAACCTACGCAGACACAGGGAGAACATGCAAACTCCACTCAGAAAGGGTCCAACCGGGATTCGTACCCAGGACCTTTTTGCTGAGAGGCAAGAGTGCTATCCACTCAGCCACCATGCCGCCCAATTGAATCCAACACTGTATTTCTCAGAGTGTAGATTCTTTGGCTAAACTCTGAATATTCTGAAGTTAAAATGACCGACGCCGCACTGATATTCGATGGGTCTGCTGTTTTTAATCGTAGAACATTTTTGACATGGCAGTGCAAGTTCAGTGCAGTGATTGTCCCTCGGGGAAGCAGCAGCAACAATATTCACAAAGTACTCGAAGCTTTGAGATTTATAGATTAATATACAGGAAAATAAGTCTTAAAAGGGTTTAATACATACGTTATAAATATAAATACATACTTTGCACAGTTTTGAAGTGACTCAACAAGCAGGTATAATATTATGACCACCAGCCCCATGGCTCTCAACTTTATTAATTCAATCCAGCTAAGTTACTTTTGATTAACTTTATCAATGACATAAAATACTTAGAGATATACATGAATTTGCCTTTGGACTGGTTCCATGATGAATCCCTTTCCCATCCCTTGTGGCCATAATGTTACACTTTGGGTTAGTTTTACATAACAATGACACATGGTAAAATGCATGAGTAAAGTGTCCAATAAGACAAGACAAAAATAAAAATGATACAGAACATGAGAAACTTAATTTTAAAATAGTAGTAATAAAACAATTTCCTCTGACAACACATGTTGTAAAAATGTTTGTAACACTACACAGGCTGGAACAGGCTGTGTTTTAGTATTTTTCTTCAAATTGCACCACTTGAGACCAAACTAGAGAGGGTTCTTATGACCAGGACCACAACAGTGATTTGTAAACTCAGCATGGACCTTGAGACAAAGGGTGAATGTGAGCGGAGAGGCTAATGGCTGATGCTATCGTTTGGAGGTAACAAGAAGAGATACAGGAACGACCACAATGAGCCAGGATTAACAACACCGTATGGCAACGATATGGTGGTTCACAAACTTTATTCATCCCCCTGATATCGATCTCAACGCCAAAAGAGGGGAGGACAAAGCAAGAGGACTGCAGCCATAAATACATAGGGCAAAACCGATATTTATATATACAGACAAGAGCTAAACCATGACTAAATCAGACCTAAATCAGTAAGTAAGTAAGTAAGTAAGTTTTTATTTATATACCGCCTTTTCACTGCAGATCTGAGTCTCAAAGCGGTTTACAATTGTAAAAATGAGGAACGCTTCACGAATTTGCGTGTCAGTTCCTGACAAATCAGCTCCTTTGAAGACAGAAATAATAAACATTTCAAATAATTTGTCTCAGGACTTAACCAGTAATAAACAGGTGGCAATCTCTGCACCACAGTTTGAGAACCACTGAATTACCCGAGCCAAGGTCTTTAAGATCGTGGCCAACAAGTGCAAACGCAGCTGAAATCCTAATGCGGTGCTGTATCATTACTGTATCAAACTAAAACACAAACACATTCTGTGAGAGACCAGCGCTTCCCAAAGAGTGGTCCAGGAGCTTAGAATTACGACATGTATACGGTTTGACTCGAACCATTTATACTTTTGTAAAATTGCTCAATCTTCATACTCATTTTTAACACATATTTTGGATTAATAGTGGAAGGAGGCATGGTGCTTCAGACTTTGGCAACAGCTCCTATAAATCACCCAGAACAGTTTGGGAACCATTGTTTTGTATCAATTGTAAAAAATACAGACTGCAGACAGTTTTTGTCCACTTGCACCTGGATGGATGACGCCGCTAAACTCCTAAAAGTCAAACAAAAAAACCCGCAAAGAATAAGATTGAGGATGGCTTAATGCTGTGTTACTGTCACCCCTGTGGAAACGATGCTACCTCCAAGTCTCTCAAGCCACAACTGCCGACTCCGCACTTTCCCTGATCATTATTTACCGCTGCTCGTGACATGTTTACAAATACTTACACATTAATTTTGGTCGCTTCAGATTTATTACATATTTAGTCACTGGGATGGTCACCTTGCCAAGAATATACACTCGATTGTAGGGTAAGCGTTTTTTAGCAGGGCAGGGCAGACACACTGGCACGCAGAAAGTAGGTTTGCTATTTGAAGATACTCATGACTCAACAAAGGCACGTATACAGAGGGTAGACATGTACAAAAGGGGGTTCCCATGTGATGTCAAACTTTCACACACTGTGGAAGAAGTGCAGGTACAAAAATACTATGATGAAGTCTTCAAAACAAAATTCCAAGTACTGCATGACTTATAGGGTCCCCAACTTCATATGCTTCCAGCTCCCCAAAAGGTTCAGGAACACGAACAAAGCACATAACAAGTAAGTAAAATTGTATTAATTAGAAACCTATATTCATTTTGCATGTTTACCTTAAAGCTCGGGTACCTCATTTTCAAACCATAAATTTATTTCCGAAAATGTCATAAAATCCACTCTACTAGTTGCTTACTATCAAAGGTGGTCGGTCAGAATGTGATCTGATTTTTCACACCATTTCACAATACTTTCTGCTGGGAAAAACAACTATTAATATAATTATTTAGAAAAAATCTCAGTTTAAAAATGTGGACAAGGGTGTTCGAGTTTTATAGACATATCTGTTGCTCATCAAAGATTTTTTTTTTGCCAGTTATGTTTTGTAAAAGTAAAAAAAAAAACGCCAAAGACCAGTGCCTGTAGCATCACAAATTATTACGTAGAACCTATTTGGAAATGCATTACTAATATTACCGGCTTTTGTAGTATTTTGATTGATTAAATTGTATTTCCTAATGTGTAGAAAATGGTTAAACAAGTTGAATTGTTTCCTCTAAATAGTGATACAATATGTGCTCTAAATCAGCAATCAACCACACATCTATAATTGCATTGAAAGACATTGCTGTATTGATGAACCATATACAGAAGGTTGGATTACTAGGACCTGGAATTTACCCTTTTGCTCATATAGTTTATAGAATTGAACGCAGTGTTTTGAAAATTTGCTCCAAAAAAAGATAATAAAATATCTTGTTTGTGAATGTGATATTGTTCTGGTTTTGAAACCTGTACAGCAATGACGTTTTGGCAGTGACTGAAGAAACATAGAACACACATAACTGATGAATCCTGCTGTTACTTCCCCACACTTGGACCGAGAGTGCGGTGAAATGAATCAATCCGACATGACGTCCATTAAGGTCAATTTAGCGACACAGGTGATGCCTTTTTATACAGCCACTTTCACACAGACGCAGCGAGGCTCTAAGAAGTCTACCTTAATTGCTGCTACCGTATTTCTAATTTGCACTGCTACTAACACCTGTGATGTTTTTATTGCTATTTACATAAAAATGATTAATGGCCGCAGTGACGGTATAATTATACAAAGTAATGAATGACTTTTCTTACCGGCACTTACCGAGTGTTCAAATGGATCTATCATTACACTTCAATAGAGAAATATAAATGCTTGGATTCTAACCCTTAAAAGCTGTTAAGATGTCACATTGCATCATGGGACGTGATTAATATTTATATAATAAATATTAATGTAACAACACAGTCAAAAAACACTTGTCAAACGACTAAGCAGCAACTATTTAAGTGCAAGCCGATGGACATCTGCCTAAAGTAAAAGTGCTGACCTCACCAATCAGGCTTAACATTAGGACCACATGATCTAGACTATTAAATGGTCTCTTTGATCCTGTTCTTTCTTGGTTACCAGGCGACTACATACTTATGAATATTTTCTTTGCCTATGTGAGATTCAGCACAAAACTGTATAGGACCTTGTGAATGTATTCCATAAAAGACAAAAGAGTTTACCTTTCCAATTCTCTAATGCACTTTCTGGATCAGTAGTTATTTCACTGTTTAAAAGTTGTAGAGAGAAAGAATCCCGCACACTGTCTTACTTTTCAGCGTTATGCCTTCATCAAGCAAACATGTTTGCTTGAAACGGATTCTTTCTCTCTATCACATTAGGCTATACAGGCCTCTCCTCCGACCCACCCGATCTGTATGTATTGATGTGCGAATCCCTACTCCGGCCACTGATTAAAAGTTGCCACACTTTCACATTACACAGGTTGATTATTACTTAACAATGGTTTTCTATCGTTAAAGGAGATGTCTGTAACTTTAATTGTTTTTTCATTTGAATAGGAATATATAATATTGACCATAATACTCCATAGTATACTCCATTTAAATTAGGTTGTTTTTCATAAATACGATCTTTAAGGAGAAGAGTTACACCAAAGGTTAGGGGCCTCAGCTGTCTATCATGAATTTGAAATCATTGCATCCAATCAGGAACCTGCGGGGGCGGATCTAACTGGAGCTTGCACTAAAAAATCTTCTCTCTATCTTCACAAATTCCAAAGTAACTGGTTTTCACAACAATATCTTCTGCAGTTTGAAATATAAAAATCAAGACATACTGTGATCCTCTTGTCTTTCTTTTGGCACATTTCAAACAAACTCAAATATTTATGAATAGCTCTTTTTAAAGCTTCTAACACAACCGCTTCTCAGGCCTTTGTACACCATATATCATACGCACAACCCATCCACTGACAAATGCTATGAAGAATTCAATCTCTTGATCCGAGGCAATAATGTTAAGCCAGCTTGGTGTAAATCGCACAATAAAATTCTCTGTAGTCTGTAAAAGTCTCAAAAATACATCATCATTGAAGTCTATTCACTATGTGCCATTCAAACTGTTCAAGGTTCATTGCTTGAGGTAGAATCCACCTCCAGAATCTTCAGTAACTTCTTGAACCAGGTATTAAAACTGTCCATGGTAGAAATCAGTTCATAGGGTTCACATACTTAAAAAGCAGCTTTACAAGTTCACTCCAATGTTTTGGACCAGTGTAGATAGGACTAAGCAAGTAAATACAAATATATATGGATGTATTTTTAGATAGAGCTCTCATCGGGCTGCTGCAAGTCTAGTTGTGAGTGTTTCCTCTGCTCCAAAATCCTGTTCAGCTCCTCTGTGAACGAATGATAGAGCGGCGAGATGCCCTCTGGATCCGCCTGCGTTAGGAGAACGTAGCTGTTCCCGTTCATTTTCCTCAAGACGCTGGGTAGAGTTGCCGACAACCCGTTAGCGAAGTCAATATCGGGCAAGGGAGGAGGCATAGGGAGCGGGGGCGCAGGTGGCGGGGTTCTGGTCGGCGATAAGCGACAATCCGGCATAATCTGCATGAAACTATCGCCCATCTCATCGAAACTCGGCATCGATATCGAACAGCGGCCGCGGTGCCCGTTCCAATGGCTTGAAATGGTCCTCAGCTCCAGGTGCGAGCTCAGCCTTCGATCCGGCTCGCCCAAGACTTGAAGCGCTTGGTGGGAGAACTTGCGATCTCTTGTGCCGTGTTGGGTGCAAAAGCTAACGTAGAGTAACACCACGGTCAACACGAGGCATAATCCACCCAGCACTGCCACAAGAGATATGTAAACAACCTCCATGTGTCTATACGTTTGGTACTCGGGCACGGACGGATACGGCGGCGACGGAAGCGGCTGCTCTGTTGCGGCCGCGGTGGTTGCATCTGTCGGGCTGGGGCTGGTGGCTTCGGTCGTCGCCGTGTGCTCCGTGGGCAAACTAGAATCCGTGTGGACTCGTACGGTGTATAAATAAACCAAGACAGACACGCCGTTCTCTACAGCAAAGCAGCGATAGGAGCCGCTTTGCCTGGACCGCGCGCCGATGATGAGCAGCCCGTCGGTGCCGATGCGGTAGCCGGAGTTCAGGCCGTATCCGGTGAGCTCCTTCCCGTTGAAGGTCCAGCGCGGGGAGGCCAAGTTGGAGCGTAACTCGCACTGAAGCAGGACGTCGTCTCCGGACAAGACCGAGCGGCGCCGATGGACAACTAGAAGAGATGACATCATGGCGTTAGTCTAAATAGTAAGTAAGTTAGTAAGTTTTTATTTATATACCGCCTTTTCACTGCAGATCTGAGTCTCAAAGCGGTTTACAATTGTTAATTTTTGGGCATTTGTCTCTCACTCCACACAGAGATGGGAGCGGGGCCAGTACAGGAGGCACATGCTAGAACTATTGGACATATTTTATTTTTAGTGGTAGGGGAAACCGGAGTACCCGGAGGAAACCTACGCAGACACGGGGAGAACATGCAAACTCCACTCAGAAAGGCCCTGGTCCGACCGGGATTCGAACCCAGGACCTTCTTGCTGAGAGGCGAGAGTGCTATCCACTCAGCCACCGTGCCGCCCAAATAAATATGCAATTGCTCTCTGTAATTGTTTCTACGACAGACAGAAAGGTCAACTGAGTGTTCATGCAGAAGATTAGCAAAGAGGGCAAGCTATTTTTATTATTATTACTGCAAGCTATTTTTATTTGCTGTGGACTTCATAATAAATCAGCAATTGCAGAGATCAGATAACGCTTGAGCATTGATGGACAACCATGGACATACAAATGTACCCACTTTTTCCTTGATCTTTCTTGTTAAAAGGGTCTTAATGGGATATTGTTTCAATTTTTTTTTTTTATACATTTGATGGCATAATGGACAACAGGTAGAGCCTACTTAGAGATTGAGGACTAACTAAAGTCAATAAGAGAAAACAAATAAATATGTAGGGAACGTTTGAGGGGAAGCCAGGTTGCTGTGAAGCGCCCTGCATTCTAGAGCTCATTAAGCAACTCTAAAGGGTTAAAATACCCTTTTTTCTACCCAGCAAAACAACGTGACACCACCAATGATTTTTTTAAAGTAAAATCAAGCCTTGGATACCACTTGAGTGATAAGTGCTTATTTGCAACAGCTCAGTTCTATGGGACATTATCCATATTTTTTATAAAACATGTTCTGATCCTAGAATTTATTTCATTTTTATTTCATCTTTATACATACTTATTGAGGAAATGTGAATTTTGCCAAATCTTTGCAATCTCTCTAGGCAAATTAGGTTTTACATTTTTGCCTTGTAATGAAAAAACTACAAAAATCTAAGAACATGTAAAGAAGTTCAGGACATAAACTGCATTCATTTTCATTATCCAGAGGAAGCATCCCAGACTGCAATGCACCTGTCCACCTGACCCCAAGCAGCAGGAGGAGAGATGATTAGAGCTGTGCAGTGGGGACAGGGCGAGGGAGAGACTCAAATCCCTTAAAGGCTATTAATGCTCAAGTCATAGAGGTGAGCTAAGCAGAGCCGGCAGCTTTGTCATCATGTACAGAATGTGTAATAAGACACTGGTGCTAGTGATGGTGCTAATAGCAATGAGTACGTCTACAAATCATGAGAAAAACGCACTATATTAACAGATTATTAAACAAGCGCGAGGTCTGTACAGAGAATTATCAGTCTTTTTGTACAGACCGAGCCGTGGCGAGGTCTGTACAGGTCTGATATTTCTCTGTACAGACCGAGCAAGCGAGATTAAAATTTGTTTTATTATATGACTATTTTTAATTTATGCAAATATCGATCGGTTTCAAGCAAAAACACATGCAACCAAACTGTCAAATCGTGACATGAAGAACTTATTAGACAATTGAGGTCGCCCGCTGGTAAGTTCTCAATCTCTTCTGTGTCTTTACCAATGCTTTTTAGATATTTGTGAAGTATGTTCATGTCCGACTTGGTTTTCCTAATCGTGTTTTTAGCTTTCTGGTCTGTAACGAAGTTGTCAATCTCTTCTTGACTGTTAGGAGTTGTGTTTTTGTCGTTATTTGCTGTTATTACTTCCTCTGGCTCTTTGAACTCGTCCGGATAACAGAATTCACTGGAGAATGCTCCCAGTCGTCGCTCATTATTTCTTTTTTACCGAAGAAAAATATCAAATTTGATACGCGCTGCTGACCAATTGTCATGGTAACGGTCCAAGATGGGAAGATATCAGACCGCAAATCAGCCAATCAGAGCGCGCGTACGATCCAAGTCATATAATAATTATTGTTATTTCCCAAACGGTCTGATCCCTTTTGGTCCAGTCTCCATGCGCCCCTCGGAGCAAAGATGTCCCATAACCTTTGCCACTCAAACTTTAGAGCCGTAATTGCATGAACTCTGGTGTGTATCTGCTCTGTCTGGTGCACACTGGGGTACTCTTGCTCGGTTATTCCAACGTGGTCTTACTGAAAATGGCAAATAATCTGACTCTTGATCTTGAATCTTGTAAATAACATTTCTATCATATATAGTATTAGCACACTTTTGGCTAATGTGATCCTTGTCATGTTGTGGTCTCTGTCGGAACAATCAAAATGAGAGAGTTGCCTCTTACTTATACCAGAGGCAAGACATGTCCCTGCGCTTTTAAATGCATCGACTGGACTTGTCCCAATAGGATCTTGTTTACGTGGTTACATGCCAGAAAAGTAAAATTGGTTGGAACCAGTTATGCCAAACAAAGGGTTTGCCCACGTGTTTGCATGCGAGTGATCCCGTTGTCACAAGTGCTTTGTAAACGTACTCATTGGTATTCCTGTTAAATACTGTAGTTGTAGCATCAGTAGGGCAACATTTTGTATACGTACCTTTCCCTGAGTTGTCTTTACAGCCTCTCACTCCTCTGAGGATATCCTGTGTTAAGTTTGACCTGCAAAAGGGCAATTTAAATTTTGTTAAGTGACACTGTTGGCAAAACTGTGTATTATATTGAACACCCATGGTCAGCTCTTTTCCTGCCAAAAAAAAAATCATGTTAAAATTCATCCCATTGCTAATATATTGGACAAAATTCAAACCGCTTGGATTCAATTAGTGTCAAAAGAACGTCTACAATATCTGCTTAATTTGGAAATGGTTTCAGTCTGATTGTTCATCTTTAGGACTATTCCCACTTTTGTTTCTTGTACACATTACTGAAAGTCTTTCCAGTTGCTTAACAATTTTATTTCTTTTTCTATTTCCCCACATTTATAGCTATGACAAGTTAATAGTGTATAGCCACAGCTGCTCTGGGGTAAACTGAGTGGAAAGAGCTCATTCACCAACTGTCAATCACTTACTCATGACATTGACAGAGGCAAAGTGAGTGAAGAGTCTCGCCCAAACACACATCAACAGGATGGTCGGATGCCTCGACTACTAAAATATTGTTGAGTAGTCGTCTTGACCAACACGGTTTGACTCTCCTGCAGAAGTAAATTTCCCATCTGAAATAAATAATGTCCTTGCTCTCGTCTTTAAACTGTTGTAACTACTGAAATGTCCATGATTTTCTGTCACCAGTTTAATATAATGCTATTGTTGGAGTATTTTCCAATTCCCAAACCATCTCCTCAGATTAGAAGATGATCCCATGATAGGAAACCAAATGTCTCTGCTAAAAGCTTGATCCAGATGATTTATTTTAAAACTTGTTATGCTATGATTCACCCTCAGACAAAGGAATCACTGCAAAAAGTGAAAGTATAGACTAGTGTTTTAATGGATTTTATGTAATTTTATTGTGAAGCACTTTGGTCGCCTTGAGTGTTGTAAAGGGCTCTATAATTACAATTGATTGATTCAATTTGTGTAGTTCACTTAATTTCACTGTATATATCTAGTCACATCATGTTTTTTGACTTTTTTACGTATGCAGGCTGAAGATAGTTACAGTAAGATAATATTACTTATTTTCTTGTTTCAAGAAATCTTAACAAGTGGAATTATCATGAACCACTGCCAGATAATTTAGCTTGAACCATGTGACTTTCCTCTAATAGTAATAATTTTTCTTGTTTCTTTGGAGCCACTTTTTGCAGTGATTTTAGTAATTATTCTGCCTTGTTTTAAGAACTGCTAATAATTCTGATGTGCTGGAAATGTCACGACAATCTTCTTTGTCTTCTTCTCTTCTTTCAGGGAATATCATGAAAAAGCAATCCAGTAAAATGTAATATTGATTGCTATGACCTCCAGCTGAAAAGTTAAACAGTGCAGCTTTAATTTGCTCATACTATCCTCATGATATGGTGTTCGTTGTTCACACCCCACCCTTGTAAATTTGCACCCACCAAATTGTGGAGCCACCATTAAACCAAGTCATTTCTGCCTCATTTTGTGCATACAGATGAGAGCACTCAGAATTCTCCTGTCTTTAAAAGAACATTATCACGACAAAAAGTGGAGAGGCATAAATTGTGTGGTCCTCAATTACACTAATGCACTACAGGTCCAGGAGAGGCTGGTGTAGCTGCTGCTGTAATGAAGATTAAGACCGCCCCAAGTTTCTCGTGCGGAGGAGAGCGGCACATTTGGACATGCAGCGGGTTGGAGATATTCATTCAAAGTAACTACATATTCATGATTCTGGATAGTGGATACATTTTTTACAAACATCAATATTTGATCACTGCTTTTACTGCTATTAATATGATCAAGTGCTTTCATTTTTACAAGGTCAGGGCTCGTCGAGAAAGAGAGATCTTCCACTTGGGCTGGTTGAAGCTACAAGTAGATGCATTGAAGTATATAATTTAATAAACAAAGAAGTAACTAAGTATATTTTTCCAAGTTAAATGAATGCTGAAAACATTTGGAGATTAAAGATTGTATGTAATATGCCTTCTTAGTGGTCTGATAAAGTCATTACAATTATAATCACTTTTGTTGCCATAATCTTCCTGCATATGACACATGAAGCTCTGAGGCACTATTACTGATGAAATCCACCTGCTGGGTTTAGCTAGAAACAGTACAAACTCTTTGTATTACCTACAGTATGAGTACATATTTTTATACAGATACAAAATACAAACATACAGTTACATTTTGCCCAACAAACATTCTCATTCTGCTCTCTGATTAGACAATTTGCTTAAAAATTGTAAACAGAGATATTATGAACATCTCATCCATTGCATTATTAATGTTAAGAATAATATATTTCAAAATATGATGAGTGCATGTTGACCTGTTATCTGTAATTTAGAATGAAAATAATACATAAGTCCCTTTAATAATTTTTTTTTGGTCCCCGTTTTTTCAGTGATGCGATACATGGGACTCAATCTTGAAATATAATGTGAGTCGCTGGGAGATTTTACTGTGTGCCAATGTTAGTTTCAACTTCCTGTACTTACAAAAATAGAAAAACAACTCCCCACCCATTCCCCAAAAACACAATCTTGCATTACAAACTCCAGGTTATTTTTTGGGTAAGAAAAGTTGATCAAATAAACATGCATTTCTTTACAATCAGACGTAAAAGCAGAGAGATGCAGCTATAGTCAGGAGAGCCTATAGCTGTAATGGTTTTTATTTATGTTGGATAATCATAACAGACACAGGCAGAACATTTCCACTTTACTACTATTTCTACCTCTCTTGTTCACACATAGCGCAATGATGTCTCTTTGCTATGTTAATTCTCACATTTGCACCTGTGTTCAGTACCCTTGCAAAATAGAGATTCTTTGATGCAAAATAAATGTGTGATTTCAAATTCACTTTTCATTTTTTTCCCCCCTAAGCTCTTACATGGACCTTTAGATATTCAGTTGGAAAGAGGCACAAGTTGTATAAATATTTCAGTAGCTTTCACTAAAGATGAGCGAGGGAGAAATATTAATCGCCGAGCAAAAGGTCGTGTAATGTAAAAATATACACTGGGTCGGACTCATAAATCTTGTTTTAGTGACGATTATATAAAAAAGGTCAAATCGGTTTCGCATGGGATTTAGAGTCCAGTCTAATACAAGCAGCAACTGGAAATACTATTAAAAAGACAGGTCTGTTTTATAGTGAAAATCTCCCCATGGTCTCACTATTAGTATAAAGTCTGTTTTTTTTATCTTAAGTGATCAAAAAAGTATTTGAAGTTAGCAATCACCAATTTTTTTTTCCCTTTGTGCAAAAGGGCTGCTCAGCGCTGCCGAATCAATCACATATCGTATTAATATTAATAAAGAAAATCACAAACAAACAAGTTTATAGCAGTGGTGGTGGGCAGAGGAGGAGGAGCCACAGGGAAGAAAGCACCTGGGTCTAAAACTAATTTCAATAACAATAATAATAATACATTGGTTTTAATTAGTGCTTTTCAAAAACTCAAAGGCCCTTCATAATTCAGGACACACACACATACACATTTAGACAGACACACAAAATTAAAATCAGGAAAGAAGAGTACAATGCTGAAGAGTCGTATATGCTTGGAGGAAGAGGTGAGTTTTTTAGTTTTTTGAAGGAGGTTAATGAGTGACATTTTACATTTTAAGTCCCCTTTAAGTTATCATTGCAGTTTCAAAAATATACATATCTATGAACAACTGGATTATATTCAATTCAATGTATTTTTGGAGGAGGACCTTACAAAACTGTTGATTCGCCAACACAGAGAGTCAAACAGTGGAAATGCAATGATAAAAAAAATGAAAAAAAAAACAGAGCCATTGGTCCATAAGGGGCAGATGTCCATAAATGTCGATAAAGTCAATAAAACGTGTTAAATGTCGAGTGTCCTGGATCATCACCACTGATTTTTTCATAATTCAAATGTAATGTAACTTTATATTTGTGAAATCGAGCCTCGAAAAATCCAAACTAATATATCTGGTCCCAGTGAAAAACACAAAGAACAAAAAATCTCGCTCTTAACGTTATACAGACACAAAACAAGCTGTGATCCATAAAAAGCTATTCGTCTTCATATAGAATCTCGCAATATGTGACTTCTGCCAAATGTTTGCAGACAGAGTAAGTATGGCTTTTCTGTTTATCGTGTTCATCACCACCGAGGCTCATGAGCGTCGCACCATCTGCCCCTGATTTATTTTGCTTTGATGTAATTAAGGTTTGACAGCTTCCTTTAAACAGTTGTGCAACATTAGAAACAGAGACCATGTGACTGACAAGGCACTTTTAGAGTCCTTTAAAAGATAACCATGAAGTATTAGAACAAGGATAGATCAAACTGTAACGAGACTTGAGAATAGATCTGAAATGGGAACGTAAAGTCGAGTGGGCCGGCTGTTTAAAAATAGGCTTGATCAAGTGTCATAGAAGATTAATGTTATTATTGTATTTTGATAGAAGTTTTTTTAAGGCATGCAGTTTTAAGTCTAATGATTGGTCATAGTGTGAAAAGTTTGAGATGGGGACAAATGTGTGCCAAATTGTACAAATAAGTTCCTTTAATAAGTTCTTAATTAGCCTGAATGAAGCTAAACACAACTCCAGGTCTGTTGTTGATGAGGGAAGCATGTTGAAGCATTGTTCAACTATTCAGAATGCAATCGTTAAAGCTGGGGTATCTAACTTTATAAGTTCATGTAGTTTGACCCAACAGAAGGAGTATTAATAATAACAATAATAATAATAATGCATCTGTTTTATATAGCGCTTTTTTATAACGAGGCAATCAGTCTGTGCCATCGTCTCCTTCGACTACCACCAACCATTCACACACACACAGCAGACTCGTTCTAGGCATTGGGGGTGAAGTGTCTTGCCCAAGTACACAACCACAGTTTGCCACTTAACAGCTGCAGTCGCCCCACTGTGGCAAGTTTTGTCTGTCTTGATCTAATTAAACTTTGTTGTAAGAAAGCCCTTGAACTGATTGGCCGAGTGATGGTGTGGTGCTTTCTGTCTGCTCTACAGACAAAAACATACTGTATGCATGGCAAGGCAAGGCAAGTTTTTTTGTATAGCACAGGTCAAACACAAGGCAACTCAAAGTGCTTAACAAAACAAGATGTGGTCCTGAAGTTTGGTACCACAGCTTTGAATGAATGAATGAAAGTTTATTTGAATATGGAATAAAAATGAACAAAACAAAAAAACCACACAACAACAAAGGGAAAAAAAATGTAAACAGGACTTAATACTTGTTAATGTTCAAAAGGAGTAGGAAGAAGTCAACCTTTTTTTAAATCCCACCCCTTCTTCCATAAATGCCTATTGCATGAACTAGTTTCCATGTTGTCAGTGTGATACCTTTGCGATCGTGAGGCGAGCTGCACACAGACCTTCCCGTCCCAGGCACAGAATGGGTCTCTGGCAAACACGCAGTCGTGGCATGAAGTGTACCTCCTACACCAGGACATTGGGATCTGCACCACGCCAGAGTACGAGCCCACGTAGATACTCCTCTGCAAAAGGCACAAACAAACAGCAAATACTTTTTATGGCACAACAATTGAAGAGCACAAAATAGCCCTTAGCCACGAACAACTAAACCTACACATTTCATTTTAACTATATCCCCTTAATACAATGATATAATGTGTTTCAGGATCCACTTAATTGTTCTTGAATGCCCTATTTATCTTACATGATATCATTTGAGAGAAGTTGCTTTAAAAGATTAAAACATAAAAAATAAACATGTCCATTTTGATTCATTTCTGTGGGTGTATCTTTTGACGCTTCTAGTCTTTTATGCTGTGTGTGGAAAATGACAGGGAACCAAAGCATGCAATCAATGTAAACAGGTCATAGCTAACACGTTATATAGGCACGAGGTGTGTAACATATGTTTATCATGATACAGTCAGTCTGTCTCTGATGGATACTGCACTGCTTTTGACCTAATATCCCACAAATAGAGTTCCATGTTGAAACATAGGCTGTATACAGTAGTGATGGACACCAGTGTGGCTAATGAGTGCTGCACCATCTGCCTCGGATTTCTTTTACTTTTATGTCATTAGGCTTTGACAGCTTCCTTTAAACAGTTTTTCTCCAACTTGCTTTAAATAAAACAAAATGGCGTTAATTTATTTCAATATAAGAATACTGTCAAATGCAAGGAAAACACCCAGGAAGTTGAAATAGTTACGGTAAAGTCTGTCCGGCCCGGTCCCTCAGAGCAGATGTATGCAACATTTAAAGTTTGTCAGTGTCTTAATAAGGATTTTCTGAGACCCCTCCAGGCGCTACATGAAGAGGTTAAATGTCTTATTATAGCCTCATATGTGGGTCCACACCTCGGCCCCAGTCTTAACAGAACGGTTGGGTATCTTTCAGAGCCTGCCCATATGTATTTGTATATACACATAATGCAGGGGACTTACAAATTAATTATAAAAGATACAAACAGCTTAGCAAAAAGGGTATGGGGCCTCGCATTTAACTCTCCACCACATTTTAACAAACATACAAAACTAATGCATTTTCTGAATTGAAAATGCATTATTATTGGACTCAAAATATCCCAAAAAATAAACAAAAATAAAGATTATATCTAATTAAAATATTCTGTTAAACACAGGATCTGCATCAGCTTGTTTTTCTGGGCATACAGTTTGTAATATTGTCTTTTGTTGTCTCTGTCATCACACCAGTCATCTGATATACAGTGTCCTGAGATAGTTGGTGTTTGGTAAGAGCAAGAGTCTGTCTGCAGACTCAGAGCCTAAAGTTTTTCAGGGAACAAAACCTTCATATAGTATTGGCTCCATAGCCTTTTGAGAAGCACAATCTAATCTAATCACACTAGTCGCCGTCTGTGAAAGTGGCTTATAATGATTCAAATGCCAGACAAGTAGATAAACCCAAAAAAACAGCTGTCATTTCTCCAGAGCATAAATATCATACATACCAGTGAAGTTGATATCACCATGCTCTCTATGGGCTGGGGTCTATCAAACAGCTGCAGCTCCTCTATGATATGCATTTCTCCGTCAATGTTTACAGCCCGATGCAGCCATCCATCATCTGAAAGACACCATTGAACTTTATATTTGCTTGCTCCGCGGACACAAGTTCAATCAAACTTTATTACAGCCACATATTGGACTCACCAGTGCCCAAAAACAGGATTGTATACAAATTTCCGTCTAGCGCAGGCTCTTTGTGGACGGCGATCTTGACATAGTTGACACTTCTCTTGAAGAGCAGTGGGCGCGCTCCGATCGGGTGGATCTGGTTGGCCATGAGGGGGTGTCTGCGGGCGAAGGTGAGAACGTTGTCGGGAAGATCACGAGATGAGTTGATGTTTAGGGCTCTGTGGACGTCTGTGATGCACTGGAAAGAGAAGGAAATCAAAAGAGTTGCTTTGCTGTGAAAAGCTGTTATCATAGGTTGGTTTCTATTGATGTACAGTATGTAGGAGTAAAGTATCAAAGCAGCACTGTATACATGACATTAATTAGAAGTTATGCATAGTAGAAATGATGCATATTAGACAATGTGCAGTACAATATTTACGCTACACTATATAATTTCTTGCATAACTAATGTAATCTCAGTCCTGTTTAAGTGGTTCCCAACACAACAATAAACGTGTTTGTACATTTTTGTCTCACTGGACTCATTTAGTTGGCAGACGAAATGTTAGCATCTTCCGACTATAACATTCTACTACTACTAAACACATTTTAGCCCAGGGACGAATACAGAAAAGAGCTGATAGGAGGCCAAACGTGTGAATGAGGTTATCATATGTATTTATTTTATTTTACATGATGAAGGTATTTTGTCATGTACATTTTGATATTCTTTTTGTAGATTAATAGATAGATAATAGATGATAACAGAATAGATAATGAATAGATAATTGTGTTCAGAAAAAAAAGATAAAATAATTTGCTTCAAAATTATGCTTAACATGCCATAGTTGCCTATTACCACCAATGATGGAAGAAATGTCCACAGACTAGAATTTCATATGCCTGCTATATCTAAACCTACTTCTATTTTCGACATTGGAGGATTTAGTAATGTAGCAAGACATTTCATTATTTAAATACTACTGTAATAACTGAAAAACGTTGAGTTCATTGTGACTTGACATTGTTACAACCATACGACTTTATTTTTCGACTGCAAAACCAGCACCTACTGTATATCTATCTGGTTTGACAATTGAACATTCCATCAAAAATCAGGCACATACTGTATCATATTACATAGACATACAAATTTTATATTGTTAAATGTTATGTTAAATGGACTTACAGATCCAGGCCTGGGCTCGGGGACTTTGCCTGTGTACTCCCTCCACTTGGCGTCCTGCACCTCCATGTACGGCCCCTCAAACACCCGCTGCACGTCCGAGAAGGCAAACTGACACACGGCCGACGCCTTGATGTTCTTCCTGAAACCAAACGACACAATAAATAGTTAAACACCACCACACTGCAGCCTACACTTGTCATAATGCACACACAGGAAATACCTCGAATAAGTCTCACAGAATGCACCAGAATCAGATTCACAAAAGCTGAGGTACCTAACTCTCAAACTTTGTAGTATTCTTCCAACTGAGTTCATAGCTCTCAAACTCTGGAAATGTGAAAACGAGAGAACCAGCCTCACTTTCAGCCCTAAACATCAAAGAATGACTCAAATGGCTGTGGTATGCAAAAGAGAATGAGATGAAGACAGGATTTTGGCATCTGATGTATTCACAACATTTTACTTTTCCAAGACTCTTTCTATTGGGACAAACACCATGTATTATTAGAGAGGAAATATGTAGGTACTCCAGCTTTAAAGGGGAAGCACTGTATCAAAGTTTTTTTCCAAGCATGATTGAAAAATGATTCAACAATCCCCACTTTAGTTTTCACTTTTCTTTTTATAAGCTAAAACATAAAAACATCTAACCCTTTCCTTCCCTTTTACAGACACTATTTTGAATACACAAGTCACTAATATCTAATGAATACGTTAGCCGTTAGTATGAAAAAAGATTATGATATGTGCTTGCATTATGTCTTCATTAGCTGCCCCCTGATATGCGTGTCCTTACTGATTTTGGCCTTATTAAATCGAGGCTCAAAACATATTTATTCAGACTGGCTTTTAACACTTTTATCACTCAATAGCAGGTGACACTTTTTAAATGCTTTTTTTTATGTTTTACTGTTTTTGTGCATAAATGTTTTAAATTGATTTTATGTAATTTTATTGTGAAGCACTTAAGTGTTGTAAAGGGCTCTATAAATAAAATTGATTGATTGATTAAACTGGATATGTATGGATGTGTGTGTGTATGTGTTTAGGTGTGTGTGTGTGTGTGTGTGTGTGGTGTGTGTGTGTATGAGTGCGTGTATGTGTATAGGTGTGTGTGTTTGTGTATGTGTGTGTGTGTGTGTGTGTGTGTGTGTGCGTTGTGGAGATGACTGGATCCATAGTTCAGGACCATCGGCAGTTATGGCAACAGAAACACTGTGTGGGAAGTGAATGAATAATGGTTATAATTGTAAAGCTAATTTGAATGTTTGCAAAAGCGGCATCTTCTCAGAAAAAAAGAAATAATGTTCTTTGTTTTTTCATCAAAACAGCTCCCGCGTTGGAGGACTTTAAGTACTGTATTGTCTTAAGACCCACTTCTATTCCGTGGCTTTTAACGCAGCATGAGGTGTATGGTCTGCTGTGTTGACACATCATTTGCCTTGATTTTATTGTTTTACTTCATGTTTTTATATAATTCCACTTTAATTTGGTTTTATCGTCTTTATAGTGAAGTCAAGTAGGGCAATTTTATACAACTTGTGGCAGACAAACCTCTGCAGCACTTGGTAAAATGTCTTGTTTAAATAATGTGCTATATATAGATTTTTTTTCTTTTTGAACCTGCACAATACATATTTTTACATATATCAATATAACAGACAAACAACTTGTACCTGGTTTGAAAAGGATTTTTGATGAATCAGATGCTTATTGGATTCCAACCCCCATCACACATACACTATTTTAACCATAGAATTCTCACATCTGTACAGTACAAACAGTCATACAATACTATATTGATATGTTGATATTGAAGCATTTGCAGCTAAGACACATTTCACCTACTCTTACTACTGTCCTGTATGTGCGCTTCAACATTGAAATTTCCCCACTGCGGGACGAAAATAACGGATTTCTTATACAAAAACAAGTGAATTGGATCGGCGGGTGTCTGAAATTCTGTTGTTATTATAGTTAAATATCAGACTCAAATCTTTTTTTCAATGAATATCTAACAACAAAAAAGGCAGGGGACTTCACACATCCAGGGACAAAGCATTGCATCACCCTTAAAAATTGATTTGCAAGGATTACGGTGCTGGGGACTCCTTTTTTATGCTTCGAAATGAATATCCCCAACACCAGAAGGAGAAAAAGACACATTGAGATTCGTGATTACACTGAATAAACTCAAAGTCGGTTATTATCACGGGAGAGACACGTTTCCAGCTCCTGACAGCTGATGACAGCGCGCCCGGACCAGCGGCACTTTAGGATCCCTCACTAAAGACTTGCGAAGCCTTTTTGACACTTCCTCAAATCATTCAGACTGAAATAAAAAGAAGTAGTAAATAATTCCAGGTGCGTGGTGTCCTCCCTTAATCCCCCAGAGTGGCTCCTGCGGGACGCACCCATTGCTTCACGCTACAAAGTAATTAACCCAGATTTTTTAGAGTTCAGTGGATCAGCTGAACGAGTGATATTAGAGGCAGCGATGCTAATGAGTGCTGGTTGCTACTTAAGTCAACAAAGGAGTAGGAAAAACAGGCAAAGAGTATGATATTAAACAATTATTCATATTGGATGGATGGTTGGCCACAAGGGAGTGCAATTATGAATTATGATGAGGGAGATGTTTTTAACCCTTTAATGGTTTCCTCAGCCTTTTGGTGGATCACTTTTTCAGTCACTTTATCTACTTGAGGCTTGGAATTGAAATCTACCACATCCTTATCACTTGGTTTAAGGCCATCAAATAGCATCTCAACCATTTGGAAGAGGCCTATAATTAAAAAGCTAGGGGTTCAAAAACTAACAAAAAAGGATTAAAAAAACCCTCAAAATATTAAGTATATTAGTGCTCCTACAAAGTAAAACAATAACAAAAAATGATTTGGTTTCTTCAAGTAGTGAACATCCATCCATCCATCCATCCATTTTCTTTCCCTTAATCCATTTCTGGGTCGGGGGGGGTGGCAGTCAGAGCTGCAACCCAGTACACAGAGCACCAGCCCCTCACTGATCTTCCTGCAGGTGGTGAGTCCACAGGAGCAGAGATCTTTCAGCGGGGGCTTCAGGCAAAGTGGGGTTAAGTGTCTTGCCCAAGGACACAACGACAGCAGTCATCAGTGGGAGTCGTGAAGTAGGTCTTGAGGTGGGCTTGAACCCACGACCCTCAGGCTCAAAGGCCAATGCTCTACAAACTGAGCTACTGTCGCCCAGTAGTTTTAATGTAGTGAACATTAAAGGGTTAAAAGGGAAATAACATAAAAATGGGCTTTTCTCAGATTTTAGCCATGTTAGAATTGTGTTCCACTGTCGTTTACACCAGTGTTTCCCAACCGCTGGTTTGTGAACCCCTATGAGTACACAGATTTTATTTATTTTATTTATTCTATTTATTTTATTTATTTTATTTATTTCATTTATTTCATTTATTTTAATAGGGACAGTACACATTAATCAATATTGCTGAAAATGTGTCAGTATTCGCTAACAGCTAGTTTCCAACTGTAGTCTCTGGGCAATGTGTAAAATGCCATCAGTAGAATAAATGAATATCAAAACTTGCAAACATTGACAGTGGGAGGTTCATATGGGCTACAATGGCATGTTATACCTAATTTTAAAGCTTATTCTCTCAAGAAAACATCCAAACCAAATATTCTAGTCGAAACATTGAGCCTTGAACATAATTCCTAATAATAATAATGAGTCCATCAGTCTGCACTAACTCCCCTTTCCTATTTTTGGTCCAGTTTTGCATTCCACATATCATTCCTCAAAAAATAAAAAAATAAATATGCATTCCAACTTTGTCTGAAGAGAGCGGCGCCGTTGATGTGCGCACGCTTCCCTGGGCTAAGTGGCACAAGAGAACTGAAGAAGTAGCTACAGACTTGTTCTATCTTTTTTAACGCTTTCTGTCTCAAGTCCTCTGTGGTTTCTAGGTTTTTAAGATCAATTGTGAGCTTTGAATAGTAAGTCCACATCATACCTGAGAAAATAGTAGTCAGACCAAGATGACAGCTCTTTCTTTTATCTTGTGAAATATTTACCTTGTCCCTGTGACTCAGAAACAGTTGTGGTTTTTGAATCTCTTTTGAAAGAAGGGAGTTGTCATTGAACCCATTTTGGTCCAAGGTACTTAATCTGAAGCCCTACAGGTGAGATTAGTCATAAAGGACTTTTTTCCAGTCAGATACTAAAGGGCATTGTCCTTCTGAGCTTTCCAAACCGCTCAAGTGTGTAAAATTAGACACAGGTGAGGCTACAATTCACAAGCAATGAGCAGTAGACCCCACAGGCCCCTTACTCATGCAGCAGGGGCGATTACTGCTCTCACATGTGCACTGTATCAAAGTACCATACTCAAGGGCAGTTTACAATGAGGCCGTTTAACAATGCTTTTGGCAAATAAAATTTCAATGATGATTCAGTGTTCACGGACAAACTTCAGATCAAGGGACTTTAAGTTGTTGCATAAATAATTCATACTGTTTGTACCAACAGAAAGAGTAAAAGTAACTTTGCATGAACAAGTCAGCTGTTTTTATTTTATGAGAAAACATGTCTGATGGCTGAGGTTGGTCCTCTCTTTTTCACTTTTCTCTCTCAAAAAACTAATGAGACAGAGGCCAAAAAAACCAGAATGTGAAATCTATAGTCCACTTTGTCAAACCAGATGTAACTCCATAATAAATAAACAAAACAAACAATTCCTGAAACCAACATGTGTTAGTTGAGAAACCGTTTCATCAGTTCTTGTCTATTGATGGTCATGGGGATTTTAAGAATTTTTATTCTCTGCACAGTGTGGACACATTTCTTATTCCAACAACATAATTACTATGTTACATGAATGCCAGTTATACAATGCAATGTATAATGGCTTATTTTAATAGTTTGAACTCTCGGCTGTATATTAGAAGTGGACTGAGCGAGCGCAGACGTCACTGATACTGTTTGCCAAAATCAGAAGCAGGAGCCAGATTCCTGTTCCGAGTTAGCTTCACGCAGTAACAAGGACAGATGCAAGCGGTTTGATAATCAGGTTGTTAAGGCAAAGTAAGACATGTCATGGGTCAACCCTGAAAGCTCACATCTGGATTCACAAAGTCACTATCAAAAAACAACAAAAAAGGGTTACTGAGCTTCTCAATGTAGTTTCAATGTAAATCAATAGAAGCCAAAGCGAGTTGGATCAAAACTTCATCCATGAGCACTTCCCTATTGGGTTTATGTCCTTATAATTGTTACGACTCATGTCACAGTATCATGGTTCTGCATTCCTATGACCACTCAGTACAGATAATGTGTAACTGTATACTGTCCATTATCAATCAATCAATCAATCAATCTTTATTTATAGGGCGCTTTTCCTGCACAGGGCAACACAAAGCGCCTCACAGTCCACACCACACAATGCACAAATCATCACCATTAAAATACAATTAAAAACACATATGTAATTAAAAAGCATTAAAATCACATAAGTAATTTAAAAACATAAGAATCACACAAGTAATTAAAAACAATAAAATAGTTAAAAACACAAAAAGTTACAACAATAAATAACAAGGTGTGTTAAAACGATAAAATTCTCTAGTTGTATGCACAGGAAAAAAGAAAAGTCTTTAACATGGATTTGAACATTGACAGAGAGGCAGCCAGTCTCACATCCTCAGGAAGACTGTTCCAGACTTTAGCTGCATAAATCTGAAAAGCAGCCTCCCCCTGTCTAGTCCTGACTCTGGGCACTAACAGGAGTCCCGTCCCTGCGCTCCTCAGAGTCCGGGCTGGTTCATATGGGACTAGCATATCATGGATGTACTTTGGTGCAAGGCCATGGAGAGACTTGTACACCAGGAGAGCTGCTTTAAAGTCTATCCTCTGGGCCACGGGAAGCCAGTGCAGAGACCTGAGGACCGGACTAATGTGGTCGTACTTCCTGGTTCTAGTCAGGACTCGGGCTGCAGCATTTTGAATATACTGCAGCTGTTTTACTGCATGTTTGGAGATACCTGTGAGCAGGCCATTGCAGTAATCCAGCCTACTGGAAACAAAAGAATGGATAAGAATCTCCAAGTCTGCCCTGGACACAATATTTTTAATTTTGGCAATATTTTTCAGATGATAAAAAGCTGCTGATGTTACCGATCCAATGTGGCTATTGAAGTTTAAGTCAGAGTCCATTATTACTCCCAGATTTCTGACCTTATTTAAAGGCCTTAGGGAGAGAGACTGAAGGTGACAAATGACGGTCTCTCTTTGTTTCTCGGGACCAAAGACAATCATTTCGGTTTTGTCCGCATTTAGCTGGAGAAAATTGCATTGCATCCACTCACTGATCCGCTGGATACAGCGAAGGAGTGAGTCCACCGGTCCATGTTCTCCTGCAGTCAGTGAGACATAGATCTGAGTGTCATCAGCGTAATTGTGGTAGGACACTTTCATACTTTGAATTAACTGACCTAATGGCAGCATGTAAATATTGAACAGGAGAGGTCCCAGAATCGACCCCTGTGGCACTCCGCAGGTCAGGGCCATATTATCTGAGACATAGTCTCCAATCTCCACACAATACTTCCTTTCTTCTAGATAGGACCTAAACCAGCTTAGGGCGGTACCAGCAACACCAACCCAGTCCTCCAGTCTCTGCATGAGAATCTCATGGTCAACGGTGTCGAAAGCGGCACTCAGATCTAACATGACTAAAACAGAGACTTTTCCTGCATCAGTGTTAAGCCGAATATCATTTGTTACCTTGACTAGAGCGGTCTCAGTACTGTGGTGTGGTCTAAAGCCAGACTGAAACATGTCAAATGAGTCATTAGATATTAAAAATTCAGTAAGTTGTTGATAGGCAACTTTTTCAAGAATTTTTCCCATGAAAGGCAGATTTGAGATGGGACGGTATTTTTCAAGTACCGCAGCATCCAAACTGCTCTTTTTTAGGAGGGGCCTGATGACTGCCTTTTTCAGGGCCATTGGAAATGTTCCAGATAAAAAAGACATGTTTACTATTTGTGTCAATGAGGGTAATAGACTACACATAACAGACTTCAGGAATCTAGGAGGTAGTACATCCAGACTGCAGGTAGAGGAACTAAGACCTGTGATTATCTTTTTAACAGTTTCATCATTGACAGGTGCAAATTGAGCTAGCTCACAAAGCCTCACTGGATGTTGCATTGTTACTTGTGTTGTAGAGGTGATGGTATTTCTGATACCCTGAACCTTGTCTCTGACCTTGCCACATTATACATACAGTAAATGTGGCTACAGTGTTGTGGCTTTCACATTGAGGTTTTATTGCACAGAAGCAGTTAATTTAACCGGAGAGAACAGAATGACCACTTAAGATTCCTTCGCATGTGTAAGGCAATTGCGTACCTCCTGCATCACTGTTTTCCAGCACAGTAAGCTGAAAACACCGGAAATGGTTTTGCTACAGATTATAGGACCACAAAATGAGCCTGGGATTAAATATCTCAGGGTGGAAGTGTGAAATTGAAATAAAAAATGTAGCAGGATGGAAATAGATATTTTTGGTGACCCAACGCAATGCTTTATCCTCTAAATCTGAGCTAAACAGCCTTTGGAACAGTTTTATGCAGCGTGACTCGGCGCATCAGCATAAACACAAATAAACGAAATGCCCGCTGTCAGCCGCACGTCACAGAGACGGACTTTTCTATTTATAACGAAGATTAAGTAAAGTGAGCAGAGGAAGATCAACAGAGCTTGACACATATGAGTAATAAAATCTGTAGGAAGTGGGAATCTTCATTTGAATCGAAACTGTTTTTGTTGATTGGTTTCACAGTGACAATTGTTTCTTCTTCTTCTGGATTTATTATATATATTCATCTGGTTTATTCCAATGTGGTTTTGCTGCAAATGGCAAGTAAAATGAAACTGAATCTTTGTACTTTAAAATATGTATTTAGTCAATTCAAAGTTGAGCAGTTTAAAGCTAGGGTACCTAACTTTCAAACCACAATAAAAGAGGAACTATAGAATACAATCTAACTATACTAGTCCCTGGCTCGATAAAACCGTTTGGTCCTATCACTAGTTTGTACTTTTTATAGAGAAAGGTGAAAGAGAGAGTAGACAACCCAAATCTTCAAATAGTGACTTATTGGGGTCTTTTGTATTGTATTTGTACGCCAGGGCTTTTAACACCTAAGGAGTTTTATGGTTTTACATGTATTTGTGTGTATCTAATTTGGTTTTCTTTTCTATTTTTTTTTTGCCTGCGTAGCACTTTGGGCAGCTAGTGTTGTTGTAAATGTGCTATACAGATAAAACGAACTTTGTAGTATTGTATGCAGATACTGAGAAGCACTCGCTTCTCAGCAAGAAGGCCCTGGCTTCGAATCCCGCCTTTCTGAGTGGAGTTTGCATGTTCTCCCCGTGTCTGCGTAGGTTTCTTCCGGGTGCTCCGATTTCCCCTACCACTAAAAACATGTACAATAGGTATGAATGTAAATGAGAGAGTGAATGGATGGTGTTGGAGCTGATGGTCCAGTGTGTTCGGCGACTCGCTTCTGTCATCACCGTGTGTGGAATGATTGGAACAATATCTGAACTCTGAACATTGTAAAGCGCTTTGGGTGACATTGGTCTTTAAAATGCGCTATATAAATAAACATGACTTACTTACTTACTATTAGGATGAAGACAAAATGTTGTGTTCTGATTTGGGTTAAAACATGGGTTATTTATGAGGGAAAAAAACGCTTTAATGAACAAATACCATTTGTGTTAAGACCCGTCATATAGAATGTGATTAAGCCAATGTGATTCTAAATAGTTCTCTCTGTTTTCCAGAGGTCAGTTTATCCTTTACTTGTTGCTTGTTTTTTATCACACAATTATTTTTCTAACCTATTATTTATGGCGCCGTGTGGAGCTGTATCTACGTAAGTGCTAACACCAGGGAGACTATAGACTGTCAAACACATCTGCGGATAAATAGAGTTTTACTTTTAATGAAATATTATCTATTTTTTATTGCTAAAAATAGGTTAGTTTCAAATGCCTTGTTGAGATTCTTATTTGTAAAAAGGTAAATAGTAATAGTAAATCTACCATAAACACAAAAATGTTGGGATCCTTTAATGGAAAACTCCCTTCTTAATCATTAGTTAATTAACAGTGGAGAAATTTCAGAGTTGCATCACCAGTTACAGAACAGTATGAACACTCTGCAGTAAAATAAATTAAAATTTCAAAATTTAGCGTAATAAGGAAACAAGTGAAGCAAGTATTAAGTCAAACATTTCTAACTTTAGCATAAAGTAGCGAGTATAAAATCTCCAACTTTAGCTAAATGAAGAAGCAAGTATTAAGTGTAAAATCTCTGTGTGATGTAGATATTCACCATTCAAGGCCAAAGATGCCAAAGAAGACGGTCCTGCGCGGGTCACGGTCCTGCAGCACAAAGACGCTGCGCAGGACGTTCAGGTGGAGCTCGTACTCGGGCACAGAACACACCATCCGCGCCTTCAGGAAGGTGGTCCACCTCCTCTGCAGGGTCCGCTGGCCTCCCCAGTCATTCTGCACACATATGGACAAGTACAAATGATACAGAAACTCTTCACAGTCTGCTCTGATTCTGAGTAAAATACTAATACATTTTTATTTAAATATAGTTCAAATAATAAGAATTTGAAGGAAGACAAATAAGCATTGAGTTATCTACTATCCAAAGTAAGTAGTTTTAGCAAAAAGAATATGGTTCAAAAATGTCTCTTCCCTGAGCAAAGAAAAGCTATAGCATCCTCGAGACCGCTGTGATAAAAGTAAAGTCACCATGGTGACCACTCATACAGTCACTGGGTCACTACCTACAGTCAAATGAGCCAAAATATAATACAAAAATCAAAACAAAAACATAAAAGTTCTATAAAGCCTCTTAAAAAGGGAATATTGAGGCTTATCTGCTATACAGTCTTTTTTTATTACGTCAATGGGGATCAGAAAGTATTCAATTACAAAAAAGTGTCCCCTGAATAAAGTAAATATTGTATTTTTCAAGAATAAGTCGACAAAACCATTAATACATTATTGGATTATTTAACCAGCAGGGACAGGGTTAGGTGAGTTTCAAAAGGTAAGTAAGATAATATATTGATCTGAGAGAAGGATCCACAGGGAAATTACTCACTGTCACTGTCGTTCAATAATACAATAAAACACACTGGTTAAATAATACAAACGCAACTGATTTACATAGAGTTTTATCTACTGTATATCATTCATGTTTGTGGTGAGTTACCACTGTAGCCACGGCCGCCCTGGGGTAAACTGCCAATCTGTGCCATCGGCCCCTCCACGCACCAAAACACTGAGTGAGTTAAGAAAGAACGAGTACAAACTGAATTCTCCAGTTAGTTAGTTTCGATAAAGACACGTGTAAACCCATGCGCCCCAATTGAGGAAACCAGTCCATTCTGTGTGGCTGGTCCTAGTCCAAGTCCTGGTTCTGGTCCTAGTCCTGGTGCGCCAATTCTAATGCGGTTGAGCTGCATGTAAACGCATCAATGGAATGAGACGACAGGCAGAGATGCATTTAAGAGCACAGGGAAAAGCCAAGTTTATCTTAGACATGTATGTGTTTGGTTTTGGGTTCTCAATCTTTTTTGTTCGAGATTAATACAGTTCCTTGCAGTGTTTTGTTGTTTTCTTTTGTTGTCCAAAGCAAAAATGAAACTTAAAAGGAATAATGGTGCTGTTACCGGTGCTGTGGACATTCTATTATTTCTACTGCAGCAGTTGAGCATGTGTGAAAATCAAATGACCAAAGTAAACATAATGTAGCCGAGTGTTTGCTTATATTGTATGTATGACAGCATTTATTTACGATTACAGTTACAAAGTTTGAGTAAAGAAGGGAAGTTGTGAGACGCCTTTGATAGCGCCAAAGATCTAGAAACTTCTATATGTGATGGGATCGGAGTCGAGACCACACTGGTTTGATTCTCCCACTGACTTGAGTGTGGTTTTTGAACGCACTCTGTATTCTTATACTTTGTAAACGCACTCACAAAAGGACGCAGGTCTCGCCAAAAGACACACAACTATTTTGTCCTTGAGCCCCAGCCCTCTCAATGTGGCACCTGCTAATACAGCTCCTATCTCCATCAAGTTAATGAGCAGTATAATTGACTTTCTTTACAGTAGACCTCTCTCGCTTTGAGACTTTGAGTTTCCTTCTGTTTGAATCGTGCTATACAAAAAAATAAATGCCTAAAACATCACATTGAGATGGTAGAAATAGAAATGTTTTACTTTTTTGTGAGTTGGAGGGAGAAACCAGGCCAACGGTTAAACACTTTGGAAAGTCCACAGAAGACACCATTTTCCAAATATTACTGTAATTTGAATCAAATGAGGTCATTGTTTAAAAATAGTTTTTGGCCAAGTTGCGTTTTCTATTACTAGCAAAGCTTTACGGCTAAATATATCTCCTTTCCAAAAAAATTCATTTAGTTCCAATTTGGAGAAGATTGAGATACTTTTAGTCGGACTAAATTGCAGAGTGTAATCATCTTTCTTCATTTATGACTTTTAGGATTATTTGCCATTCGTCATTTCAATGTGACGGCTTTCTCTCGAGCCGCCGCCGCCGCCCACGCTAAAGACAAAGTAGCTTAAATCAATAAAGCCCACAAGAAACTGAAGCTAAAATGCCAGGGGCGGGAAGAATTTCATCGATAAGAGGCGCTCCATATTTGGACTGGAATTGAAAAGGCAATAACTACAAACGATAATAAATCAGTGGGTTTCAAACAGCGGTGTGCGTACCAGTCCATGCTATATGATGGTCATTTCCAATTTGTTTGCAGGTCTAAATGTGACTTTTCCAACTGATTTTTAATGCTTATTTAAGTCAAATGTTTGCAGTGTCTTTTCTAGCCTTGTCCTTTTTGTCCTGATGTGGCTTTCAATTGGCCCAGTTATAAAAAAAAATGTTTTATCCTATAGATCAGTGCTTCTCAAAGTGGGGTCTGTGAGGCTGATAACCAGTATATAGAATTTTAGGTAAAGCTACATGTATATATTTGTAATTGTGCCACAGTTTCTGCTTTTTGGAACTTAAATCATCATCAATTCCATATTTATCCACGTAAATCGGGATTAATATAAATCAATCAATAAATGTTTTGTATAGCGCAATTTGTGTACAAGGCAATTCAAAGTGCTTCACAAGAGCAATTTTAAAACACAGATCCAAATGCATAAAGTCAATGTTATATACAATAATTTCATATTAAAACAGAGCAGCATAAGATTATGGGGTTTAAAACTCTTATTCAAATGTGGGATAAAAACGGGAGATAAAAGCAATAAATAGTTGTGCTCCAGAGTTTGGGAAACACTACAAGAGTTGATTGAATCTCTGCATAAATCTCTGGGGTTCGTACTATATGATTGCAGGAAATAATTGAGGCAAAAAAAGGCCATCCTCCACCAGAGTTGATACATAAGAAAACAATATATCAAATTTTACAGTAGAAAAAACACAAAATTAAGATTGAGCTCAACATACCATAATATATGCAACACCTATGCCCAATTTACACACACATAAATATCCAAATCAGTAATATTCAACATGTAAAAAGGGGCTAAAGTGAGTTCCGTTTGTCCAAGACACTCGACTGTAAGTGCTTGGTGAGATTTTTTTCAAACCATTGCTCACGAGAGATGGATTTGAGACACTTGTAGAAAACGTGGAGCAGAACAGTGGGCAGTTCTAATCATCATATTACATAAGAGCAGGCAAAGTGCAGCCGGGTCAGTGGGCTGTCACGGATTCTAACTTAAAAGATGAAAGGTCATAACAGTGTGAAGGCATGGCCCCAGGGAAATTAAGGCAAGATTAAACCAGCTATTCGCTCAGGCTGCCACACTTTGTCACTTTAAAATACATGTGACACATACTGTACATTATATAATAAGCTGTTTTTCAAAAAGTACGGATTTGGTTTCAATTTAACAGTAAGATAATATAAATACGCTCACATCAAGCCAATTTTCTATTAGGCTACTTTCACATGGAGGCCGCGTGCTACTTGCCTATATGTATGGAAACAAAGGAGACTGGTCAGTTTACGCCATACTGTGGAAGAGTGAAGCCGAAGAAACACAAGAGGCGTCAATGCAAAGAAAAAGATTACTTGTTTTGGCTCAATTTCAGACACTGGAGATTTAAAAATGTATAATTATCAAATACAAATTATGAATTCTATGTTCAATTGACGTACCTTATGTCCCACACAGTCTTCTAAGATTAAGATGAAGAGATCCTTTATTCATCCCACAGTAGGGAAATTTGAGTGTTGCATTACAAATTCCAGAACAGTAGGAAAGAGGAGCACACGGCACAAGTTAAGTGATCAATAGCTAATTCAAATAAAACAAAAACTCTAACTCTAAATAGTATAATAATAAAAAAAGGTGTAGACTCTTGGCTGGTCTACTTGTTTTTAATGGAATATAATTGCATTTATATTAAGTTTTTTGCCACAGAGACCATTGGAGACACAATTTAAAGTTAAACGTTCCCAGGTCAGCTATGTGGAGTGGTCAATACCATAGCAATACATTGTAATGAGACATGGTTATGGAGCCCAGTGTTGGATTGGGATTCGATTCCACCTCCAGGCCTTTCTGTTTTGAAGATGGCTGGAAGAAGGTACTACATCTAACTTCTCTTTCAGAAGAACCACAACACACATATTTTAACTAAAGACAAAATTAACCTTTTTGAATCTTTCTGTGTTGAGTTTGCATGTCTTTCCTGTGTAGAATTTTTCTGTCACTTCACAGTCGTCTGTTAATTTGTTAATTAAACTGTTTTTTTTTTCGCTTAATTTATTAAATGTACTTGTCTGGTGCACACTGGGGTACTTTTCCACATGTGTTCCAGTAGGGTTTTACGGCAAATGGGAAATGAATTGAATCTGAATCTAATTTGTCGTGGTCTTTTCAGTAAAAAATACAGAATAGAATCTTTATGTTTGTGACGTGAAACATGACAATGAGATGTGCTATTGTTGTGTGAGTACTTTTGAGACCACTGTGAAAAAATTGCTTTGTTTTGCAAGTGCTTCTCCTGTAAATGTGAGAAAATGAGGCAAATGCAGAGGGACACATGGTGACGCGGCGGATCCAAACTGGTGACTCTGGGGCAGGTTGGGGCCTGTGCCAGGACTGGCTCTGTCACACCATCTGAAGATGCCGCCGTCAGAGCGAGAGCAAAGAGAGAGAAGCCTGCATCATCTACATACAGCCGCGGTGCCCTAGTTCACATTGACTTATTACACTCCGCTGTGATCGCAGACCTTATTTTCCAATGCTTATTTTGGACAGGAGAGAAACCAGGCTAAATCTAACCATGACGTACACTGGCTGCCGTATGTTTGGGTATTTTTATCACAAATGTCAAATTTATGTCGTTTTCAACCTAACTCAGCCGGTTTATAAGGTCATGTTCATCATTTTTCACTGGGTTAAAGCAGCAGTTCCCGACCTCTTTGGTTGTTTAGAGTACTCCTGGTCATAGTAATGTCTGTCATATCAACTGTGGTTCTTTCTTCTATGTACAAATAATGACTTTTATTCAATATGACATTTTCCTGTCCACATTTTTAGAAAATTAAATTATTGTTTTTTGTGACACTAATTAAACCTGCAGTTCAATTTAAAATACATTAAATTACATGTTTTGTGTAATTAAATTATCTTTCAAATATAACATGGCAGCTCATATAAAGCTCTTAACATCAAAGCTTGCAATAACTAAAAATCATTTGAAGTACCTCCGTATACCACCAGGGGGCTAAGTACCCTCGGTTTGGGTAATATAAATTTAAATAATATTTTTCAGACGCAACTTAACTTTGAAATTTTGAATCAAGAGATTAGGCGTTAAAGAGTGAATGAAAAGTCAAAAAGGTGTACAAATGTCACTTATGGCTCTACATTTTATATTTAATCTCTCTTTAATTAACATTATGATTGCTTTTTGAGTTTAAGACAATCCCCAAGTGTCAGTGTGTTATATAATGCATTCTCCAGGGTTCAATGGTCTCCTTCTTACAGGGGAAACACAATTTGTATTTTAAAAAGCCACAAAACTGTAAAAGTGAAGCTATTACTATAACATTATATTTCACCTGAAGAGAAAAGGGCTCCGCTTGAGGCAGTCGAAACCTAAGATGCTGATCGCGAGTGAAACAAGGTCCATGGGAAAAAGAGGTGGATGATGAGTGACAGGAGAGACTGTAATAACACGACATGGGGAGAGTGATGGATGTGTAATCTGCCCGGCAACCGATGCAATAAAGGAAACCAACCCCAGGCTATTAGGAGTGACTGAAGCTTATACTGTAAGTACAAACTATGCAACACAAAGGTTTGTTCAAAGAAAATCGGAATTTAGAATTTTTGTTAAGTTAATTGTAAATTGTAATAATAATAATAACAACTGCTTCATAACAGAACTGACAGAACTTCTTTTTTGAAACTGCAACACTGAGCACACACGGCTCTTCTTCATGGCTTTTTTTAACATCGCAAGCAGTGCATTTTATTTATGTTTTGTATAAAAATAGCGATGTGACATTTCTGAACGCTACATTTATGATCCAGAGTCTGATTTCTTGTTTTTTTCTTTTTACAGACTGGCATGTAATTACAGAAAAGTCGGGAGCGATAGAAGGTAGGGGAAAATCTTTGAGCTTTGACTGCAGGACAATGCAGGGTGATTCAAGAATGCAGCTAAACAAGTCAATGGTGGGCAACAGCAGTGGGTGAAATGGCAAACAGACCAGAAGAAGGCTGCCGATTTTACCATTGTAAAATAAAGAAGACATCACATGGCCTGCAATATTGTGATAATCTTTGACACCTCATTAAACCTATGTGCAGTTAAGGAAAGAATCAATTTTATTCTATCTATTATTATTATTGTTTGGATTGCAAAACAGAAATGCACCAAAATCTGTGAAATGATTTACAGATTTGTTTCTTCCTTTTAATAATTGCGTTTTGGGGCGATTGGTTGGACTAAAATAAATCATGGAAAAACGTTTTTGAGCCATGATCAAATACATAAATGAATCTCTAGTCAAAAGCAGTGGAAATGCGATTTAGCCTCTCGTGATTCTGTGCCTGCGTCTTTAATGGATGAATAATTAGACGCGTTGTTTTATAAAGCTGCATAATGAATTACACATTAGCATACATGGATTGACGACTGTAGTAAAAACACGAGTGCACTTTCTGACCTTACAAACGCGGGCCACTCTGGACACTTTGGTCTGACTGGGGTAAGCCGCTTGCTCTTGGCTTCGCTCGGTGAAGAAGAAGTAGATCTTGTCGTCATCTCCAACAGAGCTGTTAATGCTTTCCTTTAGCAGCACTGAGCCCACAAAGTCTGCCTCTGCACACAAAGACACACAAATACACTCACACACCATGAAAAACCCTGCACAAACAGCCATCTTTCAGCATCTGAGGAAAAAGGGTCTCCTTGGAAACGTATAGGGACCAGCGTTAAGGACGTGTGTGACCAAAGGCAACTTTCCTTCTGTTTCAAGTCACTGATCTTTACTCTAGTACACATACCTCGCAGCATTTAGCCTTGAAGTTCTTGAGGCTTATAGAACTTCATTTATATAATAACTTAAATTATCACTTTCACATCAAGGACGTTTGATTGTAACTCATGGTAACAATCCAGAGCAAACACGGCGCTCTCATCAAGGATAAAGGATATGAACGCAACAAGGACGTCCAGAAGATATACACCATTTGTGATATTTCAAAATAATGAAAAATGAGTGTTGAGCAGCTCACCCAGCAGCCACCTGGTGGGGGCCTCCTCCGTCCTCAGGGTGGGGAAGGGGAAGTTCCTGCGTACATCCGGGGAGCTGCGGAACTCGTACTGAGAGGCTGTGAACATTTCCCCATCTGAAAAAAAACACACAATCAACTCACAATCAAGTCTCAAAGGTGAAAATGCATCAACAGAGCAGAACGTGTTAAGAAGAAAATGTCTAATTTCAAAAGTTCACATTCACAGGATTCATTCAACACAGAAGTTGAGGTCGACTGAAATGGGTTTTCTGTGGACCCAAAACAAGCAATAAGCAGATGTCGATGTTTTCAAAGTGTGACGGGCTGATTTTAAATGGCTTTTATGGAATATGTTTGGATTCATTGGTTTTTCCATATATTTCGTACAGTTGGGATTGTAACAGCACTTGACCAATAGGCCAGATGGGAAGTCAATATTTCAAAATCTATACACAAAAGAATTGACTGAAATATGAACAACTTAGCACTATTTACCCTTCTATCTACATAATTAATGCCCACTGCTGCAAGAACTCTTATACTCACACTAAACACTATAATAACATCTTGCAAATTTTGTCAGTAATTAAAAAAAATCTTCTAATGAAATGAATCTGATTTAAAGCAAAAAATAATGCACTATTGGACGTCCTAATTGGCATTTTCAAGTAATTACTGCTGTGTCTTAAAATCTATTCTCTCTGCAAATTGCTAAATTAGCAGTAAATGGCTGGATTATTAGTTAAGATTATCTTCCACACCATTAAACGTGTCGTATTTCTCGTCCGCACCAAACTGCCAAATCCACAGAACCACTCTCCCACTTCAGTGCATCTCATCCCATTTCAATCTTGCCTTTTCTGACTTCATCAAGAGTGTGATCTCCGGTAATCAAACGCAGACATGACGGAACAAGCCGCCGTATCAAAAATAACCGCAAAGAAGACTTGGGCTTTACACGCTGGTTCAAGGTGACACCAGATTGCATTTTTTAAAAACTGGATTCAAACGCGTATGGTGCTTGTAAAAAAAAAAAAATCAACTTTTGTTACGTGAAGGTCGGCTGAAATGCAAATTGTGTCCAGCATACCTACAAGCAGGCCAGTGTATCCTTTCGTGGGGTCGTACGGGCATCGGTCCCTGCCTTCTTCAAATCCTGCAGAGAAATTGAACCTCTCTGCATCCTATAATGGGCGACATACAGGTAATGATTACACCTCAATACTTTGCCGTATGCTGCGTGTGGTCAGAATAGCAAATTGCTCTTACTATATATGCACACAGGGGCCTGAAGGCGTTTGTCCCGCAGATGTAGAAGTGGGTCTCGTTGTAGCGCTGTAGAAATCTTATGTGATTGTAGCATTCGGTCTGTGGGGGGGGGGGGAAGGCAACAGCTGGTAATTTCTACACCCTTGTAATCATAGAACAAAACCCCAACCCCTTCCATTGCTTCCTCATTGCCTACTGTAAATGCAACTAAACTGCTATTACAAAGAAGATGAAAAATGAATTTAATAGGAAAATGGTTTCGGCCTTTTTTCTCGCAGCAATGATTTTCTAAGTCAATTTGTCGTACCTTATTGTTCCTTCCTTTGCTGAGACACTGTTTCGTCTGCTCCGAGGAGGCCTCCCAGTCCATCTGCAAACAATGGGAGTAATAGGGGTGACGCTGGTGTGGGCACCGCATAACAAGGCGTGCAGTGGTGGGCTAACCCAGAGAGAGTTGTACAGTGAGTTTGGTAAAGATTGTGGCTTTGTTTTTGTCTGATTGTTCATTAAAAAGTATAACAATTATGTGACAGTTGTGCGTCACTACATAAGGCTGCACTCATGAAGGTCGTTCTTTGCTTGGAATGTTCCTCAGAATAAAATACAGAAAAACCATTATTGAATGATTTGTTTTACTGCTTAAAAACAGATTCCTCTCTCTGCGGATGTGACCTGTAACTAGTGTAACCTGTTTGTCTCCAATGTAGATGGAAATCTGGAATAACACAAACATTCAGATCAAGGAGATGGCCGGGGACCGAAAGTAATAAAGTGGTTTTCTAAGTTAAATTGAAGCTCTCTTTTACATTTTGATGGTATTTTTGACAAAGGATTATTTAACATTAATTGAAAATAGCCAAGCGATTATAGCAAAGGCTTTTAATGACAGATGAAAGGCCAATGATTTATTATTGTATTCAACTATTTATAATTACGTATTGGGAAACTGTTTAAGATTAAATTAAATTATGTGGTCGTTTTCTTGTAAACACTAGCTTTAAAATGAGATAAAACCAGTGGGGGCGGGTCTGGCCTCAAAAGTGGCCAAAATGACGTGCGCTGACATGCTTCTTGCAATACCACCCCGGGCCGATGGGGGTGGACCCCGGGATAAGCCAGCGACAGCGAGTCTTGTTTACTCGCTGTGAATTTTTGAAGTCACTCGTTTAAATGAATGGGGCTCATGCCGGCTGACGCATGCGCAGATGCGTTTCTCCTCATTTTCCAGCCCCCGCGGCCATTTTGAATCACTCCAGTACAGCCCAATTTTTGGCCCATTAGTTTGAACGGCGGAGATAGGCGGGACTACGTCTGTTAATATTTACAGTCTATGGGTAAAACACTGCATGGTAACTGCAGTGTGTTTGTCTTGTGTTTGATTTAGACCAAAGAAAAGAGCCGCACCCCCATTGAGTAAGTTGTCCAGGGCACCTTTAATATGATTAATATGTATCTGAGTAAAGACGACGATTTTTAGATACTGTGGTGTTTTCTATCTGTAGATTATTTTTGTTTCCTCCGCACGACCACTGATAATGAACGGAAATTGAGCACACTCTGCTTAGGTATGATAAAGAATATATAATATATATAAGACAGGGAAAAATCTAAAACACAGCCATAAAGCTCATGCGAAGCAATGGAAAAACGCATTAGCTGTGAAACCGAGGCTTCTGCACAACAATGCACAGCAACGTTTCTATATGTAGTTTTTATATTTGCCAAAGTTTAAAACCCTGAGACAGATGCCACCGACAGTTCCCCTAAACTAACCTTTGAAGAATGTGTCTGATTTATTTTTTAATCCAATATCCATAAAATTGGAAGAACACAATGGGATTTGTTCAATCTCCTTGGAGCTATAATTAGGCTGTCCTCCTTCTTAACCACTTTGGGAAATATGTGAAATAGTTTTTATTTCTTGCAATCAAAAAAAAGAAGAAGGGCTCACAGTGAAATTGGCAGGTGTGGAGATATTTGCCGGGTTGAGCGCGTACACGGCGCCTCTGCCCGCAACGTACAGAAGGTCTTCTTCCAGCAGCAGCGTACTGTAGTTCTGAGACGAGCCGGTGAACTTGGCAGTCCCCAAAAGGCCTGAAATACAGACAAGAACAAACAAAACAAAAGGCAAATAAGTCAGATGAGAAAAAATGTTCTAAATGAAAAGAATATAGTTAGATAGAATAGTTTTGTCATGACACTCATTAGAATCTACTTTGATACTAATGAATACACATGACACCAAATTTGTTACCACGCACAGTGGTTTTTGAGATGTTTTCCTTTCTTTATTATAAAAAGAACCGATCACAAAACTGATGAAGGGATATTCACACAACAAACAACACACACATGCGCACACAAACACACTGTAAACAACAAAACACACCTCAACACAATAATATTAAAAATAAAAGTATTCATTACAATTTTGAAAAAAAATGGCATAAAATCACCAGATGAAATTAACAAGAGCAAAAAACGGCGTATTCTACAGTGAATGCACGGCTTTTGACAGCTGCAGCAGCGCTCGGTTTGATATCTCTGAAACCCTTTCTTGGGTTTCACAGCCTTAACACATACACCGGCTTCTTAAAGGATTTGCTTATTGTGGGTTATTTTTAGAGCGTAACCCCCGCAATAAACAAGGAACCAAAGTATTTTCGATACCTTTGAAAAACCCTCGCAGCAATATTAGACCTAACAGGATCGACAATAAGATAAATGGTGAATTTTAGAATGAAAACAAAATTTATTTGACCTGCTTGTAAACAGCTTCAAAAACAATGTTCACTAGAAATCCGATCTTATGTCGCGTTGCTCGTTCATGTTTTATATTTATATGCTGAATTGATTTGATGCTGCAATGAGGTGAAATCACATTGCATCATGGGTATATTAATAATTATGTCTTGTCTGTCAGTTTTCTCTCGCTACACAACAGCTGTCACAAAATATGTCCTAGATTGAATGTGTAGTGTTTCTGTTACATTTTTACGCTTTTTTTGTAAACGAAGAAAATGGTGGGAAACATTTCTCAGCAATTGCAGCTTCAACCTTTTGATGCTTTCCTCAACCATTTGGTGGATCACTTTTTGAGTTTTGAAGCTTGGGTTTAGGCACTTCTATCATCAAACTGCATCTCAACCATGTAGTAAAAGCCTTTAAATTATTTGTTTATGCTTTTTACAGACCACAATCACCACACCATCTGTAAGTTCCATTCAGCAGTATTCATTCAATATACATGTCTTTGTACAATGTTATTACCTAGGCCTCTACCTGCATGTGACCTATTTTACCAAAACTAAAGAGATAGAGATGTCTGTGGTGATGACAGTTATGATATTTTCCATTCTTCCCTCGGGTAGGATGGCTTCAGGAGTCAGATTACCACATGACACGGCTTTGAGTCAAAAGCAATATATATCAATTCTATAAAACGTTTAATAAGAAGGCTGGAATCAGATTGACTAAAAAACATTTGTATTCTCGGCACATTTTCTTTATTGTGTGGGAAAACGTCACCAGATATTTGGATAAAACTGTTGTAGAATCTCACTAAGTTAATCTATCTATCTACAGTATATACCTGTATCTATCTATCTTTCTATCTATATATCTATCTATCATCTGTCACTAGTTGAATAATGTTTTGCTGCCATTTGAGTGATTTCTCCCACGAGGCTTCGTCAAGGTCCAGGTGCCTGTTATTGAACGTCTTACAGAAATCCTTTATCCACAAGTTTCCGAGTCATAAAGCAACAATTCACAAATATTTCTGAAGCGTGAAAAAGCCTCACAGTCCTGTTGCCGATGCAGCAGGAAGCGGAGGCTTGTGAACTGCACCGTAGCCTGAGCGCTCGCATCAGAACCGTGCCAGAGTGTCAGGGTGTGCACTCGGTGGGTGTTATAATAGCTTCCTGAATGCGCACACACTGTCAGGACTGAGCTTCACCTGCACCTGACAGTGTTTCCTTTAGATTTTCTTTACTGTGGCACAAGTACAGTAAAGAAAATCAAATGACTGTTCTCTGATTTCATTCTCTGATTTGATTTCATCTCTGATCATTTCTTTCATCCACATATATTTGTATTTACAGTTTTTCTCAGTGTCTTTGATGCATTTCTCACATCATTCTTCACATTTGCACAACTGTTAGTGCATTCCTCAGAACAGTTAGTGCAAACTGCAAAACCTTGTGGATAACCTGCAAAAGTGCATCAAATGGAAAGTTAATTCCTCAAAAGCAAGTCTTCATGTCATTGAAAGTGTCTGTGTCTCAAAATAATAAGTCCTGACACCATTCAGTAAGAACAACAGTCAAATGACTTAGTCATGTTTTCATTTTAACAGTTTACTCTCTGTGTTTTCAATGCAACAAAGTCACTGTGACACTTGGTGAGCACTAAACACGACCTGTACAGCCAAAGTTACACATGACTGTATTTAGAGAGGTAACTGAGTCCAAGACACATATGTATGTGTGTGTGTGTGTGTGTGTGTGTGTGTGTGTGTGTGTGTGTGTGTGTACTATATGTTATTTCACATACTTACTGCATGTGCTCTTTGAAATTCCACAGCATTATGTAACAAAAATACAGTCACTTTGTGTAGAAAAAACAAACAGTATACCATCCAAGTAGAACTGTGGCAAATGTAAACAATATAACACACACCTCCTCATAAGTGAAGCTGAAAGTCACCTGAGAGGAATTGTTCAATTTAGGAGAGATTTTCAGAAAAAATGAATAAAGGAATTAGCTTGACAGATTTTGGTTTTGAACTAGTTCAACAGTTTTGTATATGACGACTAAAGCGATGAAATAAGGACTATTAGTTTTATAGGGAAAGACTATTCAGCTTCATAAGTATGTTTCATTTTGACTGACACAACAGAAACAAATAATAATGTTATAAAACAACAGAGAATTGTATGAAAGTAACTGATACATGTCCGAAAGCATTTGACATTTGTTCATAGGAATGATAAACTGCTGCGATGATGTGCACCAATGACTCAATGTTGTGGAGGTTGAACTAATAGTTAGTGGATAGCACTCTCGCCTCTCAGCAAGAAGGTCCTCTCTGGGTTTGACCTTCTTGCTGGGCCTCTCTGAGTGGAGTTTGCATGTTCTCCCTGTGTCTGCGTAGGTTTCCTCCGGGTACTCCGGTTTCCCCTACCACTAAAAACATGTACAATAGGTCTGGCATGCGCCTCCTGTACTGGCCCCGCTCCCATCTCTGTGTGGAGTGAGAGGACAAATGCCCAAAAATAACAATTGTAAACCGCTTTGTGACGCTGGTCTGTGAAAGGCGCTATATAAATAAAAATTATTACTTGCTGGACACCTGAATTTCTCCTACGGTAGATCAATTTAGTATCTATCTATCTATTTGTGTGACATCACAACAATCAAAAAAGCCTGTAGTTTCAAATTGTGGTGGAAGGCAGTTGAAACATCTTTCCTGGTAATTATGGTAAGTAGTCTCTTAAGTCTTTAGATTAGAGCTGATTTCTCTATAAATCCTGGGCCAATCCACATGAATAACAAATCGTCACACCTTCCTTGTCAGCATATATTAAATATTTTCTCAAAAAGGTGTCTGAAAGTATATATTGTAAAAAAAATATGACCAGTCGAGAAAACTTGCAAACATAAGAATAACTTTTGTTTCTTTCCCATAGAGTTGAGATGGCTCTTCCCAACTGAATTAGAGATCTAGAACATACATGCAGCCGAGCTTCAATACAGGGGTGTCCAAACTAAGGCAAATATGGCCCGCAATGTCATTTTATATGCCCTCTGGCTTTCTAACTTATGAGGCACTTTCAAATCATCATCCAGCCATCTATAGTTTCACCAATAATGTTATGCTATACCTCGTTGCAAAGCTCAGAACCTTTGGAATTCAGTTGTTAACTTTATTTGTATATACTGACTTTTGTTTTTGATCGTATCCAAAAATTTCATAAATAGCGCAGAGGTAGCTGTGGTGTGAAACAATATGGACATAACATCATAACCCATTTCAATGCCCAAAATCTTGTGGAAACAGTTATAAAATCGGGGTTTCGACCATTGGACAAGTCTGGCTAACTACGGTGGCCCTCTTACTATAGGATCTGCTTTAATACTATAATGGATAAGGCTCCCCATAGTCCATAGTCTAGGCTCACTGGAGGTTTGAGGGTCTGACTAACGGGGTATAAGCGGGTCTTGGACACCGACAAGAAAACATCAACCTAAGATAAACTCTGCTAATGACATCAAGCGCTGAGAATTGTCAAGGAGTCATTAATTTATTCCCATGTACAGTAAATTGTGGGCTTATCTCGGCTTCCAGCCCAGAACACTGTTCTTTCCAGTCATAGATTGTCTGTGGCCAAGTCAATGGGCCGTGCAGGATAAATATAGTCCGGCCATTACGAGGAGCGGCAACACATTGTCAAGTGTTCGTAAGTGAAGGAGTGTGTGCTTTTGCTGACTCATAATCCTGAGTGTCATTGTCCCACCTTTCCCTGAGTCGGCAACTTCCTGCACAACATTTTTTTTCATTTGTCATTCATATCATGTGATCTGATGAAATCTAGCATTGTAGCTATGGTGTGCAATAAAATATGTCTAAATACATGTTGTTTTTTTAGAAAATGTAGATATTTTATTTTGATTTAAAACCCATACAGTATATATAGATTTTGTTTTGATATTTTGACTGTAATACCAATTCATCTTCAATAACTGACTTGGAAAAATGTAAATGGCATTATATCATATCAAATCATATCAAATTGAAAGTCCCCTGTATGCATTGTACCCAGTGCTAACTGTAGCCTTATCTAAATCATCTTTAATGTTTGTTGCCTTGTGTATGAACTGTGCTATACAAAAAGTGAAACTAGTTTTGACATAAATGGACTTAAAATATCAATCATGTAACTAATAAGGCGGGTACTTTCATATCTTTATAGCTACATTTTAGGCTTAAAGTTACTCCATAATCTATTAATAAATCATCTCCTCTCAAGAAATATAGTTACGTTTTTTTTTTTTTATTGGAGTGAAAAGAAAATGTTTGTTTGCATTTGATCAACCATTTAACCAAGTGACAATCTGCCCACAAATTCAAATAGGATTCAATACCATACATTATTTCTTTATGGACGTTTTGATTAGGAAATTGAAAACGCTTCCTCACTCAAACTATTCTTTGATCAAAACAATGCACACCCAAACAAGAAAACTATAAAAACCTGCGCTCTCCACACCTCATTGAACCATTTGCACAGGATAAATCTTGAGCAGAACAGAGCCGTCTCCATCTCCCCATAGGAAACCCAGATGAAAACAATGTCCTCCTTTCCGTCGTCTCTCAGTAGCAGAGCAGCTTGCCCTCATTTCCGAGGTGCTGCTGCAGCGAGCCTCAAAATATTTAGCAACAAACTTCTCTTTTGACGGATTTAGAATTGATGAAACGTGACCCGATCGCAGGATATATTTGGGTTACTGGGCTTCCTCTTTCAGTCCAGTTTGTTTTAAAAGTACCTTCGCAAACTAGGCCAAGGTAGCAAGGATGTATGGTACAAGTCTTGCCTTTTAGACAGATGACACCAGCCGCACGCTACACACTACTTCATTTGTGTTGTGTAATGGGCCATAATATTTATCAATGTCACGTTTATTCTAGCATCTTTAAAGTCCAGTGATTAGTGCTTTATTACAATACAATCATAATCAAAATTCACATGATGTAGTAATTGCAAAGTACGTTCAGAAATACCAACTATGTCTGGGTTTAAATTCACTTATTGGACAACTCTATCTACAACTCTTGTTTCTGTTCTTGTAAAGCCTTCCAACTAATTATGTCCTGTTTGAATTGTGCTATACAAATAAGCTTGATTGATTGATTGATTGGCATTTGAGAGCTCATGAACAAAGTGAACATAACGCTGCATCCTCTGTATATGGTGCATACTGAAGACTTCACAGGCCTGTATGATGCTGATGATCTGATTTGGCATTACTGGGGCATGTATCCTGCTGAATGCCCTAAAAATGAGCCCCCCACTGCAGTCCCCCCCCCCCCACAAGTCCACTGCTGCTGTATCCCGTCGCACCCCACCCCCAGAACTTATAGGTCCACATTCCAAGGACTTTCTATACGCATTATCTCAGTTCAGTTGTGTTTCAGGAGTGGACTTTACATGTTTGATTATTGTGATGCAATTGTAACACAAACAAACTAAGTCATCTTTGTTTATGCTCTTCATATTTGTAAAGATAAAGGGACATTTTTCGAACGCAAATGTTAGTAAGACCCGCCCCCATAGGCTCCTGATTGGACGCAATGAATTCAAATCTTTGTTCGAGAGCTGAGGACCTCCAGCAATGGTCAAGCGGTTCTCCTCCATCAAAACGGTGATGGTTATTTGCCATGAGAAGGACTGTTTGTTTTAGATATATTTATTATAAAAAATACTGCAGAGTCATATGGTCCGATATATGTATTATTAAAAATGAAATACTGTTTAAGTTGCAGACATCACCTCACAAAATATGTAGTTTATGAAAATATGTTACCGTGACAGGCCTATACCTGCTATAGGGTTACAAATACTCAAATACAAAGATCTCTAGATTCTAGAATGTCAGAATGTGCAATATGGGAGCACTGTCACTTTACTTCACTGTCACTTTTAGCCTTGAGCCTCATGCTGCTAACACAGACAGTAGTTTCATTATCACTGCCTCTTTGCACTTGCACTACTGTGTACTTTTTAACTTGTGACGAAACATTGACATTTCCCCACAGTGGTATGAATAATCTTAATCTTGTGACAACACACCGTCCGATTTCTTGTTAAAAAAAAAATCATCTTGAAACTGCCTTGCATCACCCAGGACACTCTCACCCTTCTGTCTGTCACATGGGCCTGTGGGTGGTACTGGGGCGAGCCGTGGAATCTCAATGAGTCACGGTGTAGGCCCCTAAAACTTCAGTCCTATCTCCAGATCTCTCCTCAGTGGTTTCATCAAGGGCAGATGAGCACGCTCTGACTGGGCCCTAATAAGGTTACTCTCACATCGGCCATTGCTCTGTCTGACTAATACATCACAGCGACCAGCCCTGACACTCCACATTTAAGAGGAGGCCTGAGAAGTTGCCTGAGATCCAGATTACACACTTCTGCAACACTTTGGGGTGAGAGTGTGTAAGAGTCGTCTCCGGTTTTATCCGCTCAAGCTCAGATGTGTGATTGGCAGGCGAGTTATTAGTATAGAAACACGCACAGTACATTGTATCCAAACAAAGAAGGCAAATACAAGATATGAAATGAAAACGGAATCACAGGGGACAGAAATACATTGCAGAATTCTGTAGAATCAATAATACGTTTACAAAGCAAAAGAATATGGAGTAGTCAAAAACAAATCGTGGGATTATAAAACAGGTCTGATGAGTTTTGGTCCCGTCTCTTTGCCACTCAAGGCTCCAGACCTGAGGACGCTTTCAAAGGCAAATCGTAAAATTCCCTCATTGCTCAAACTTTGTAACTGTAATTGCAAATTCAATTCGATTCAATATCAATATCAATTCATTTCAATTTATGTTTGGATCTCAGAGGACTGTACAATGTTGTCCATCACCAACACAGATAATAATAACAAACATATAGGAGGCATTGGTTCCTAAGGTCCATATATATTAATAAATGTCAGGGAACAGCTCAAAAACCCAGTGGGAAAAAGCGAGAAATCTCAGACTGACGGACAGGGTATATATCCAGGGCTCAAGCCAAAAAAGACATACATACATTACACAAGTTGACAGCCAAAAAATGGTCAGGGGTTTCTCAACTAATTTAGACTAATTTTGGTGTTCTGAGTCCAAATATTACATGCATTTTGCTCTATCAGGTCAACTTTTTGAGATACAGCCATAGTGTTACGGATTACGTACGTCTACCTTATTATGAATTCTTCTTATCAAAATTGATGGAGTAAATAAAAACTGAATGACTTTGGATACGTTGACTTTTATTTCTTGAGGAAAACGGAAAAAACTTCAAGGGTTTCTCAGCTGATGATCCGCAGAAATTAGTTTTTTACGCAAAATCGATTTATACAAATATTTCTGTAGCAAAAAAACCTGACCTGATTGAGCAAAACCAAGGTCATTTTCGGACTCAGAGCATCAAAATTAGTCTAATTCAGCTGAAAAACCCTAGACAATTTTCAAAAAATATTTTATTGTTAGCAGTGTTATAAGAAAACTCGGCAAATGTAATCCCACAACATTGTTTACTTTGAGCGTTTCATTCTCACACACGCTAAACTGCTGCAGAGTAAATAATTGATTTTCCACCTCGGTACTCTTAAAAACACAATGATTTGTTTTTGCTTTGCGTGAAAAAACCCCACCAAAACCATTGTTGTGTTGATCCCGAACAACACGAGTGAGTACTTACTGCAAACCCATTCAAACACAAACATTTCTTTCTTAAATTGAAGTATAAGGATATTGGTTTTTTACTAGTGCCTTATAAACACACTCAATGAGAAGAGCCATAAAATGTACAAACTAATGTAACATGCATTTTCTCCTTGGCCCTAAACATAATCATGATCATATTTACTTAAACATTCATGTTTAAGTTGGTAGAGCATTGGCCTTTGGGCCTGAAGGTTGTGGGTTCGAGCCCACCGTAAGACCTACTTCACGACTCCCACTGATGACTGCTGTCGTTGTGTCCTTGGGCAAGACACTTAACCCCACTTTGCCCAAAGCCCCAACTGAAAGATCTCAGCTCCTGTGGCTCACCACCTGCAGGAGGATCAGTGAGGGGCGGGTGCTATGTGTACTGGGTGCACATAGCACCCAGTGCACCCAGTGCACCCAGTACACAACCCCCCCCGACCCCGACCCCGACCCAGACCCAGAAATGGATTAAGGGGAAGAAAATGGATGGATGGATGGATGATAACAAATAATGATAATGATATTATAATAACACAGTTTTGTAAAGCACTGAATACCCTTGCCTTTACTAGAGGATAAAAAGGTCCTTCAAAAATGGCCTTTGTTAAAAAAGCTCAGATATGATTTATTAGTTACTTATTGCATCATGTAGCACCGAGATTGTGTCACTATAAAAGGGGAAAAAGTAACTTCCTCCTTCAACCTTAGACCTAGTTTTGGATTCGCTTTTTTGCGATTCTTTATGGGCCGGGCTCTTACTCCACACTTCTGCTTTCATCACATAAAACTAGGAAACTACAGAGATTGCACAACTTGAAATGATTGCGCCAATAATATCCATTTCGAGCTGACAAATTGTAAATAGAGGTTCATTTGTGTATTGATATTGCGATGTATAACACATGGTGTAACTAGGGAAACTATTGTTGCTTGATTGTATAGTTTGTTTATATATTTCTATGTATAAGTATAAACTGTAAGCACAGCAGGCAACATGTATGTATAAAGAATCATCTAAGGAATGTAAATATTGTAAATACTTATGATTGTAAAATTTCTGCTCGAATGAATAAAA